GGGGGCGCTTGCCCGGATGCTGCTGGCCGGGGGGGGGTGGGGGGTCGCACGGCCCAGCCTTCGACTGGCCTCTGCCCTTTGACTAGCAGGCACTTAGCCCTGGTGGGTCCAGTGGTCCTGGTGCCATGGGCATTTCTGAGCATGTCTCCATCCAGGCTTGGGGCCCATTGCTCTGGCATATGGTGCTGCCTTTTGTATGGGGCAGGGCTCTGTTTTTACCCCTTTTGCAGCATCACGCCAGACCTGCTCCCTGAGGTGCCAGGGAGGCCAGCGGATGCAAGTCCAGGCGGCAGTGGCCTTGTCTGAAAGGGCTGTTGTGCGGCCTGTTTTTTTTCCCGTTGCAAATCAGCAAGGGACAGATCACGCTCATCTGTCTCCTTGAACACCGCAGCCACACTCACAGCTCCCCCCCACCCCCCAACATGAGAGGAAATAGTGGGTAAACTGCAGGTCTGGGGAGCAAACAGGGAACAGAGCCAATGGGTGCACCAGCGAAGGACTGGCTTCTCACCCACTTCCAGCAGTCACATCCCTGGCTGGTGGCACCGTTTCCAGGGGGCAGCAGCCCATTGACGTTGCACTGGGGTTTCCAGAACCGCGTGCAACTGGTCGGACTGCGAGTTCTGAAACTTCTCCCTAGCAGGGACCGAAGCAGACGCGGCCCCTCCCGCTGGGACCTCGCCGCATCCGTGGGGCAGCTGCGGCGTTTGCAAGGTGGAAAAGCAGCGTTTGGAAAGCGCTACTGCAGGCGCATGTTTCTCAACTTTTTTCAACCCAGGGTGAAAATCCTAGACCTCCCTACCCACAGATCCGAGGCTCTGCCACAGCAATGGCGCTTGGAAGCATTTCTGCAAGGATCCAGTTCCTGCTAAGGTACCTCTGCATCTTCCTGCAAGGAGAGATTCTGCTTAGGGTTTGTCTCTGCTCGCCAGCAGGCACACATGGGATGTACTTGCTGCCTGGGGCAGAAGGCAAAGCCTGAAGCAGCAGAGAGCACGCTTGTCTCATCTCACATCCTAACACGCTCCGTGTGCTGCAGCAGGGACATGGACTGCCCCTCACATTGCCCCAGCGAGTACAGGAGCAAAAGGAGAACCCTGCCAAGGCCTGAGCTGCAACGCAGTCAGATGCAGCAGGTAACTCTTCATATCTGGACCCGCAGCAGCCACTGTTCCCTCTTAGACGGAGACCTTAGTTCAGATCATCACTGGGGCCATGAGTCACGTCACTGGCTTGTGGGGGAGGTTTCCAGACAGAAGCATAGCATCCCCTGCATCTTCCCGAGTGCCGATACTTGGTTGCAGCCTGTTGCGTCCATGAACTTGCACCTCTGTGTAGGACTCTCCCCTGCCAACGTGCACAGTCACAGAGCACAGTGCAAGCAACGTGGGAACAAACAGCAAGTCAGTGGCACGTGACAGCAGAATGACGCTAGAGGGCACTCCGGCCCTCCTTCCAGGGGCTATCACAGCCAGGGCCCACGCAGATGCGAGGGCAGCCCCCTGCAAATGTTAGATAGGAGTGCGAGGGGGATCTGGGAGGCCGTAGGGGACATTTCTTTGGCCTTTTCACTCGGACCTTGGCTTCTTTCCTGGAGATCACTGCAAACCTACCTTTAATTTATTTAGAGCATCTGCTGTAACCCAGGTTTCCAAAACAAGGGGCAAGCTCAGCAGCTGTCTCGGAGGTGGACCGTTCCTGCAACACTTGATGCTCATGCTCTTCCAGTCTCTGTGGAAAGGGCGCCTTGCCCTGCTCTCCAGCAGCAGCCGGCCTGGGGAAGCCCTCTGCCCAGCTGAAACCACAACAGTTCAGGGCAGTGACAGTGCAGGGCCTGCTAAGCTGCTGCTTCTTGCCCCCAGCCATGTGGAGTTGGGCTTGGGAGCCAGAAGCCAAAGAGGTTCTGTTTCAGCTTAGAAGATGAGGGCAATGCCTCCCTACCTGTTCTTCCAAGACACCCCTCCCACCTGCACAGGGATTGGTGATGCCTCAGGGCAGCCTGCTGACAACCTCCCCCGCCCTTTTTAATTTAAGATCTGCAATCATGCTATAGATTTATATCTATCCCTTCTCCTTGGGCACCTACAGTTCCCTAGGCAGGGCTGAACTATATGCCGAAGTGCAGGTTTGGCATGTCTCCTCTGCTGGACAAGTGCAAGAAGACAAAACACGAACGCAACCATGACTTCCGTCTCCAAGGCCTTTCCCTCTGTGGCTGTCAGAGCACTGTGCAGGCCAAGACCCTCTGTGCCCCTCAGCGGAGATGGCAGCACAGAAGACGAGTCATTGGCGACTCTGTACCGGCGCATTCCCCATTCCACCGCAGGGCTGCAACTCCCCAACTCCCCCCTCCCTGCATCCATGAACATTTAAGCAGAAGTCAGTATTCACTCTAGGGCCCGCGCTTATGTTACTTTGCCCACAAACCATCTGAACACAGTGGCACACAGACAGCCTGGGGCAGAACTAAAACTCAGCACCCGTTTGAAAACCATAAATCAATCACAACTGAGCCAGTAACTAAGAGAACAGAACCAGGGGGATTCAGATCAGAACAAGGGGCCAAACGCACGTGACCAAATGCCACAGGGTAAGCACAGCCAGTTTCTACTGATGAAGGCTTTCTCACCCTGCTTCGGCATCTGATGGGCAATAGCAGTTTGCAGCCATTAGCCACTGCCCACTCCCCTGCGCTCTACTGAAGCACCCCGGGGAAGCTGGAGAAAGAGACACACACCAGAACGCGGTGGGGTGAAACATTTACATTTATATTGAAATATGCACTAAACAGAGTGAATTCTACCAGTCAATGCATTTTTGCCAAAGCAGAATCAAAACTTATCCTGGGGAAGGTTCCGTCAGTGCCCAGCGGCGCGGCAGGGCCCCCCGGCTTGATGGTCACCGCAGATCAGGGCTGCACACTGCGAGCTTTCAGCCTTCGAGGTCCCCACCCTGGGCCTGGAGGCCTCTGCTTGCACCTGCACGCAAGGCCAGGACTCTCTCCTCTCAGCCTTTCCTTTGCATTTTCTTTACTGCAATAAATATAAAATTGGCAATGCTCACACACCACAGCACAGGCGCGATTCCAGGCTTCAGCAGACAACTGTAAACCGCAACGAGCTCACTGAGGAAAACAACAGACGTTCAGAAAAGGCTGGTTCTTTCACAGCCAGCCGGGTACAAGGGAAGAATTCGTAATGGCTAAGCACAGGCAGCTCCCACCAGCAGTCTCTAGACTTGCTCCCCAGAGCAGTCACCTACAGCTGAAGCAGCAGACGCTCTACACATCTCACAATCAGGCTCGTTTGGATACAAAAATATTCTGCCTGACCCTCCCCTCGGAACATGCACTTGGGGATGTGGTCTTGTCACTTCTGCGGCAGGAACAGAACAGCAGCCTCGGGGTCCCAGATAAGGGAACGCAACTCTCCTTTTCTAGAGCCTCACGCATGGCTGCACGCACTGGAGGTGGTCCGTGCAGACTGGAGATGAGGAGGGCAGTGAAGTAAAGAGCACGGCACCCTAGCAAGCCCTGCCTGAGTGCTGAGAGCCGTCTGAGCTGCTCACTCGTTACCCAAAGGACTTGCTAATCTGCCAACCCTGCCTCCCTCCAACCTCTGGCTTGCCACCGAATGCAGCCTCAGTCGTGAGGATGGTTCACTGGCAAGAGGTCAGTGCTTATTGAAGAACACATTGCCAAATGGCAGCTGTTTCACCAATGCAGCAACACCAAGGGAAGAGGTATTTGTGTAAAATCAAATCAGCCTGATGCCTCTTCACTCTAGCCTCAAACCCCACAGGATTTGTGGACCAGGAACCTGGATTGTCTCCCCTCCCCCTAGCTGGGGCAGGACCAAGCCCCCTGCCTTCCCAACATTTCACTCACTTTCTTCCTCCTTATTGCCCAGCTCTTGCACTGGGACTTCTACCCTGTCAAAGGACCGAAGAACGATCCCTTAAGAGCCTATCCACAGAGCTGCAGGAGGGGGAATGGTAGCAGCACTGCTCAACACACTGGTGGAACAGGCCCCTGGCATACTCCCCCAGCCCCAGCTGGGCTGGGGAGGCGAGACCACACTAGTGCCACCACCTTGTGTCCTGGGAAGTGGAAGTTTCAGCCTATTCGTCAAACCTGTGTGTAGGCTACATACATGGGAAACAAAATACACATTATGCATGCAATCCAGACAGAAACCCTGCTATGACCAACTCTACAGGAGCAGGGGAGCATAACTGGGACATGAATGGATTTCTTAATGCTAGATTAGAGCCTGCATTAAACAAGAGAACCCTTTCTTATAATAAAAGGGCGCACACAGTTAGGCTATATACAGTACCTACATACCTTTCGGTGTGGGGTAGAGAGAACAACCTAGATGGCTAAATAACCCATTCTCCTGTTACTGAGGACAGTGAATGGAACTCCTGTTTAAAAAAGAATTTTAAAACAAAAATCAGTTCCTCTTCAATTTACCTGCCACCAACCACCCTGACAGTTCAAGGCTGCAGACTTTACTAGCACTGAAGGCAGTGCAAAGTTCTGCATTGGCTGCTGTATGTTAGCTAGCTGTGATGTGACCCGTTCGGTGGGTTAACAGCACTGCTGAGCTCCAGCTCTGGTAGGTAAGTCAAGGAAGAACAAACTTTGTTTAAAAGGATTTTATTTTTAAGCGCGAGGGCTCTGCATTTGGGGTCTCAGACAGTTTCTTATTGAGAAGCAAAAGAGTTTTCCATTCACCGTTAAATGAAAGAAGGTTGTATATCGTCATTAACAAACTATAATTAACCCTCTTATAAAAAAAACACCTGTAGCAAGACAGAGTCCCTGTGAGCAGGCCACTCTCCACACTGGCTCTCTTGGCTGGAGGGGGGTGGGAAGGGGGAAGGCAGCACCCAGGAGAGGAAGAGGCTACATCTCGACTCAATTTTTTACTGTAAAAGGCCTTGGCTGCTTGAATAAAATGTTTGTACAAGTAAAATAGACGCAATAAAGAAATATACACCTTAGAACTTGTAAAGCTTTAGACTGATTCAGACCTTGCAAAGGGGGTAGCTGCACCTGGACCTTTTCTTTAAGAAAGAGGTGTAACAGTCATGCTTAAAAAAACAGAACCATGAACGTGAACAGCACTGCCGAGTCCTGTGGCACAGGCATCACAGCGGGCAAAACGTCAGTTTTACACTTCTGGGGCAATGACGGGGCTGCATGACATGTACTGGAAAATGAGGCTCCTATCCCAAGGACTAGTAACAGCTGGCAACAGTGGACACAAATGAGAACAAAGAACAAGTTCTATTAGAGTCATGGTCTAGGGGAGACATGATATCCAGCAGCACCCAAACAAGACTGCCCATAGATGAAGCAACAATGGAATGAAGTTTGCCACAGACAAGGTGAAATAAGCACATGAACGATATCAGGGGAGTGTTAAATGAGTTCAGTTCAGCTAATGCTTTGCTTTTTCACATATCTGAATTCCAGTTACATTGGATTTTATACTGCCTCAAAAAGAAAGAGCCAGAAAGCAACAAGCATAATTGGAGGGGGAGTGGGGTCGGGAAGGAAGGAAAAGATCTAGTAAAGACAATTTTAAAAGATGGAAACTGTTTTTGAAAAAAATGCAGCGGTTTTGTGTTTAGCAGGTGGAATGCGATTCTGGTTCACAAGCTAATTACACAGAGCACAATCCCTAAGGCAGGGCAGGCTAAGCCACGAGCTGTGCATGGTTATTACAGACTGACAGGGTTCTAGGGCAGCCATGGAGCAATACCGCACGCGAGGGGCACAGAGGTGACTGTGTTGTTCCCATTTTGAATGAGGAATGGTTTAAAAGTAAAATTCTTCTTCGGTGAATTTCCTCCTGCAGTAAAACAAATCAGCCCTGCCCTTATGTACAAGACCAGTGTGACATTAGCCCTCCCCGTCAAAACACTAGATATGAACATCCGGTAACATTCTACAATGGAAAGTGCTTTAAGAAAGAAGGATTCTGTAGTGCCAGTGATGGGGCTGGGATGATGTTAACACTGATGCTAGCTGGTCAGGCCAGAGCGGCTTGCTTCTCCTCCGGGGTCTCCTCCAGTAGCTGCATGATCAGTTCATGGAGGGGTTTGCAGATCTTTGCGTAGCCCCCTCCCGTCAGGTGCAGGAAGTCGAACATGTCGTGGCATGAGATGGTGCCGTCTGAGTGCACAAAGCCCATGTCGACATCCAGGAGCTGGACGTTGGGGAGTTTGGGGAGTGAGGCCTTTAGCAGCTGGTTCACCTTGGCATTCTTCTGCCGCAGAGGGTTTGGCTTCTCGCCTCGAGGTAGCAGGCCCTGATGCCAGGGACAAAGTGACAAAGAAAAGCTTTTCCATGATTTGGGCAACAGGGTAGTTCATGGACACTTGATCTGAGCTTCTCACTTCCACCCTCTGCACATCTGATTCTGACCCTACTTCTAAACTGAAACCATCCAAAGATGACAAGCCAAAGCGTGTAGAACCTGCTCCTCCGCTGGCTGCAGCATACATTAAATGCTGCTGTCCTTCTCTTGGGCAGCTCTACTTGCAGCAGAAAGATGCACGCAGTCTGGCCAGGAGTGTGGAGAAATTCTCATTCCAACCCTACCGTCACCACCCTCATCCCCTGGAGTGACACCTAAACCTCAGCTTCTCTGTCTGGGACAGTGATGTCTCCCATAAGGAGATAAGCACGATTTACAGCTGACGGGAGTTAGAAGGGTGAGAGCGCATTTGTAAGGCTAACAGGAAGAGACATCTTTAAGTATGTACTCCTGAGAATAACAATGATCATTCTCCCCTTAACATGAAAAGGTCACTCCCCACAGCTCCTGGACACAGGTACAGAGACCACCTGGGTTAGTCCAGTGGTGCCATGTTATCACAACCCTCCAAGCTGCGTACCAGCACGATAATTTTGGCCTGTGGCTGTTGGGTATTTATCAGCCGCACGATGGCCTCGATTCCGCCTGCTACTTCGTCTGCTGTGTTTTCATGGTTATTTGTTCCAACCCAGACAACGATGACCTACGAGGAGGAAAAAGGAAGTGTATAGCAGAATACACAAGGAGGAGGAGTGGGAACAGCCACGCTAGCTCTGTTGGCATGGTAAATATGCAGGCCGTCTCTAACAAAGTTAGACAAAACAATTAAGAGTCAGGCTTAAACATTTAAGAAATCCATGCTGGAGCATATTCTCCACGGCCAGAAGTGGAGGCCCAGCATACCAGTCACTTTCTACAGCCCTCCCACCCACTACACACCCAGTCACGTCAAGAGAAGCCATTCTGATCAGCAGGAAGACAGGTCTAACATCTCTTCCCTTGTATGCTGTGCTCAGTGCAGACTCCTACAATGCCTTACAGCTCATCTGCCCTCCCAACACACCGCATGCGCATAATTCAGACTTTAAGTTCTTTGGGAGAAGACAGGCTATTTCCCTTCAAAGTCCTATGCACAGCCTGGTCACTAAAACACAACCCTTCTACAGCAGCTTTTCACTTTTAGGCATTAAGTAGTACAGTGAGTCATGAACGTGCTTAGCAGGGGCTCTCTCAATTGAGTCTCTGTTGTATGTCTGCTGTGGTCACCTGTGCGCTGTCCAGCATCACAGTCCCTGTGTGCACTGTACAGCTTACAGTGTGAAACTAGACCTGTTGACAGCACATACGGCAGTGTGGGAGCCCACCCAAGGGTCTCACACTGGGAGTCCACCCAGACAGCACGTACGGCACACCTCTGTTGACCTACGCTGTTCTCCGAAGTTACAACACCCTCCCCTTCTCAGAGCTTTGCCAATGCCCCTGGATCCTAACTTGCACACAACCTGCTTTTCCTATCCCATTACAGATTACCCCTGGCTAAGATCAATAAATCTGCTGGTCTGACCAGTGCTCCCTCTAGGGCCTACAATATACCACTGGCAACTTAATTCAATTAATTATTTTTTCCAGTTTGCAACTCTATCTCCAGAGGTTCAAGAACACTACTGGACACCTTTTAATCTACTCTGCTTGGCTGACCAAACAACTGTTCCAGGACATCATGCACATTCAGTGCCAGCCTCTGCTCAGACAAGTATAGAAACTCCTTTCAGGCTGGAGCACTAAAGGAGTAGGTAGAAGTCCTTTAATCAGAGAGGAACTGTGATTTGGTGCCCTCAGTTCTGCACTGGGCAAATACTCACTAAGACATTGTTCCTTCATGCAGAAAATCATAAAAGCCAGCTCTGTGTCCACTTATACCTTAGGCTTAATGTTCTCCAGTTCACCATTCTTCAGCCTCCATAGAACATGTCCTGTTGTGTCCCCACCTATCCCAAAGTTCAGTGCGTGAAGCGGTGAGAAAAGCTCGCGCCAGATCTGTAACCAGAAACCAATTCATTATTTCAAGTCAAACACCTCTGTTGACCAAAACCCCAAACTCTTCATCAGTAGGCAGCTCACACAGCAAAAGCAAGACTCATGAGGAGGAAGGGCACTGACGCCACCAGGCACCTCAGCTCTGCACCTGTCTTGGGCCTTTATTCCCCCCAGCCCTGGGAGGGTGGCAAAAGGGAGATGCTCAAGAGAACCTCAACCAGCACAGGAGGGACGAAGGATGCCGAAGGAGGGAGTTGTCTCTGGTCATGGCTAGAATCAGAGCCCAGCTGAACATGGGGCATCTGAGGAGGGAATGTAAATGAAGCAGCAGCACCTCTCAGTGTCTAAGTAGTTCTAAAACTACAACCCAAACGGTCACACGGACACGGAGTCTCTCTAGGCAGAACAGTCTGGTCACCATGACTGACTGGACAGGAGAGGAAGGATCCATTGTTATCAGTATCCTAGCTGCTGCAGTCTGATCTTTGCACACTGGCAATGGGGAGTCTACAGCATAGCCTCTCTTTGCCAGCATAAGCACATCTGGATGGCACGTGCAGGAGCCTCTCTGGCAAAGGAAAGACACCCTTGCCCCAATGTCAATCAAGCGCTGGCGAGGGCTTCCACACTGACTGCAGTGGTCAGAAGGTGGCAGGGTCACAACAGGGATCCCAGGGACAGAAGTGGAGAGCGTGCAGTGAATCCAAGAAGGCTGAGAGAGACTCCAGGGAAAATAGGGATCAGAGGAAAGAGACCTCTAGTGCTTGACAAGCTAGAGCGGGAGGGACCTAGTAAGAAGAGGGAATGCAGAGGCCCGAGGTACTGAAAGCAGCTGACAAGGCAGGGGTATGAGTGGGAAGGGGCAGGAGGCACTGTGCAGAGCATGGGTTCCCAAGTAATGAGAGACAACTTCCTGTTCATCTAACCCCACAATGTCACCCCCCCCAGGAATACCTCGTATTGCTGTAGCAACTGCACCATGGAGTCACCCACAAACAGCACATCGGGCTCCTTGTCTTTGCAGTCGAGGACAAATCTGTTATGCTGTTTAAGAGAAAGCAGCAGCGTAAACCCCAACTGACAGTTCCCCTTTGGTGCCAGCAGCCCAGGCACTTGCCCAACCAGCTCCCCTGCTATCAGACTCTGTGACAGTCCATCCCACCTGTCTCTCAGGCTTAGTTCTTTGGATCAGCCCCTTCCTCCCTGTCCTACATAAGTCCTAACACTTTAAATGGCCATTCTATCTGGCTACCCTGCTTCCAAACATGGCTTCTGGGTGATGCCACCAAACTGCTTTTTGTCTTTGGATCATAAGCAGATATCCACAGTGCTGCCAGCTTTTGGGTAGCTGACCTGCTCTGGCCATATAGTCAGAAATGCGTGCGCCATTATTCTGCCCATCATGCACCTGAAGGCCTTGCAGCTTCCTAGCAAATAGGACCCCACCTAATTTGGTTGCTGTGTTATCTGATCTTACCTGTGACATCCATCTGTCATCTCCCTGAATATCTTCAGCGGCATGTGGAACTGCTGCTGGATTTGAGTCTCCCTGGCTCATTCTATTCCTGTTGAAACAACATTTAATACGTGTTACACTGTACAGTGAAAGTCCCCTGCAATGCACACAAACAGAGTCAAGACTAGCGCTAGCTTGGCTTGAAAGCTCTGCATTTAGGGATAATCATGACTATCAGTTTACATGTTCTGCTGAAAACCAGTGTACCTAGGAGATTAGTTTCAGTCAATTGTATTCCATGAAGAAATGTCAAATTGTCCCTGCGGCCTGATCCTACCAACCTCTGATCAGTGGCATCCAAGAAGGGGCACACAAGCCCATTTCCGTGGCCTATCTGCTGAAGTACATCTCAGCTGTGCTCATTTCTCATGATATCCTGGTATAATAGAAGCTAATAATCCCAGGATTAGCCACTACTTGCACACTGATACCCAGCTTAGAGCTACTGATACACGTGTACACTTCAGGTGGATTAGCTGGCTTCATACACGAGCAGCCCCTGTGGTCCAGGAGGATCTATGCAAAAAGCATTAGAACAGGACACTGAGACGGTGCCTCCAAAATTGTTCTGGCTGCTGCCAGGGTAAGACCAAACTAAATCAAACCCCACATGCTTTATCCTGGAGCTTGTGTGGCAGCAGAGCTGGTAGTTCTGTTTCCCATTCCACACAGGCGACTGATGTTTAAATGAGACCTCGGAAAGAGGAATGGGATGGAGCTAGGAGACCATGAAGGAAGTGGAGGGAAGGTTGCTGAAGACAAGGCTAGAATTAGATGCCAAATGGAAAGCCACCCGGTCCTTTCCAGCACATGCCCATGATGGGAAATGAGAAAACCAATATCCAAGTGCTCGGGGCTTTAAGACTCCATTGGGACAGGGTGGCAGGAGGAGGCGGCTAGAAGTGGGTAATTCACCCTGCAGCTTTTCTCCAGGCTATGAGTTGAGGGAGTGAGCAATATCTCTGTCTTTTCAGACAGAAGTAAGTTAGCTTTAGAAACTGCTAATGATATCCAGGTCTGCAAAGGTACAGTTTCTCTGAACGTGTGCTGTACACACGTATACTGTGAAACGTTCTTATTAAGTCATTTTTCTCCAGAGAAGATTTCTGGCTGCCTAAAGACACTACTCTTTCCAGGGCTGCTACTGACTCGGACTGAAATCAGGGCACTCTTTTCACATAAGCAGATTCATTATTCAAGCTGGTTTGCAACGAGTGGATTCTGTTGTATTATATCCCAGTAGTTTATTCCTCTTTATCCATGCGATTTTAACAGCACAACCACATAACAACCATACCCGCAAAGAACTGAATCCACAACATTTACAACTTCCCTGTGACAATCGGGAGCCTGGTACACACCGAATTATCCGGCTGTCCTGCACACTCACCAAGAGCTCGATGGTAAGCAGCTCAAGAGAGGACATGGCTCTCTCACAAAACAAACTTTTTCTGACACAAGAGGTGACTGACACCTGTGTTTATTCCAACGTGGCTAATTTGTTATACAGCAGTATGTAAACATTGATCCCTGCATTTATGGAGCGCAGCACGAGAGCCTAACAGATGGAGAACTTGCCAAAACTTGGTGCACGGTTCCTATGCTCCCTTGACAACAGGAAGTGCAGGATTCTTTCTATGCAGACAAAGGGTTTGGTGCATAACAGATCTTACTCATTTTAGTGAAAAGAGTTTCGAGTTTCCAGAAGTTTAATGGAAACCTTTCGCGTCTGCGCTGTCCGAAAGGGAGCAAAGTAAAAAGTCTTCTACACACAGAAAAGCTTGCCATACCAACTCAGACCATAGCTCCATCTTGGTTGGTGGCCTGCAGCAAGCAATTGCCAATACGTCAAAAACAAAAAAGAAAGCTCAATATACCAAGCCCAAGAACATGTACATTTTTACACCAGATCAATCTGTCTGGCTGAATGCTCCGTGCTCGGCAACAACCAGCACCAGAGACGTCAAGCATCCCACAATGGCCCCAAGTGTCTAGTCAGGCTCTAAGGAAGTCCCAACTTTTACTGAAGATTGGCTCAGAGCCTCACACGACGATACTTTAACACTGGGGGGGGAGATGGGACATGATGGCCTGTTCTGCCAAAGTCCTGAATATTTTTCTCACCCATATCAACGGCCAATACCTTTACTGAAGGCTGCACGCTATGGGGAAAAGAATGAGAGAGACAATGCACGTGATCCTAGCTACTGTCTCTCTTACAGGCATAGAAATAACACCGGTTTCCACCCACCCATAATACCTAGCGCCTCTTCCTATATTATATTCACACATTCCCAAGAACACAGCACAAGAGACCCACGTGTAAATCCAGAGATGCTGAGAAAAAACACAGCAGTTGGAAAGAACCAGGAAGAGAGTGGGAGGTTTGTGGCCCATATGCAACCACGTGGTATCAGCCACCACATCGGATGCTGTCTGTCATGCCAACAAGTCAAAGCCCCCTTGAGTTTTTCCAATAAAGTGCTTCACCGCACGCAGATGAACTGGACCCTGGTCTATCCAGATCTCTTCCTTTATGAAACTTAAGGAAATATTCCTCTCCTGTAACCTCTATCTCCACTACGACCAGACGGAGCAACGCACCGCCTGGTCAGCTTTGCCCTGAAGTTATGATGCCAACTCCGAGACCAGCGGCTCCCAAATCGTGGTTCGGGCACCGCTGGCAGCGTGCACACAACCCGTCCGTGGTCCACGTTCACACGCTGATTATAATTACTTTACATGACCAAAATTTGCTGGTGGTACTTAAGGGCGCCTTGTTTTAAATCTATCAGAGCTTGGGAAAGGCTGCCAAACCGGGAGGAAAACAAAACCTCGATCTGACAGTTACAGGAGAAGAGGAAGGGGGTGGCAGAAAGATGACAAGAGGAAGGGGGTGGCAGAAAGATGACACTATTTTACTGGCGTGAAAAGTCCCTCTTTGAGGATACTGGACTGGGAGCTAAGCTACACCTAATCTGCGTCGCCTGCCCTTCACCTCCATGAAGACAAACAACGCTAATTTTCCTCGCCGGCCTGTTTTTTTCAAAACACCACCCATGAAGAGATGACAGGGAGCAGGTGAGATATCACTGGGGGCCTGTCTACATGAGCCGGCACGCGCGAAGCGGGCATCCCTCCTTCCCACCGCAGCGGCAGCGTTGCCTCTGGATCCGCATGCATCGGAGCGGGGCATGACGCGAGGCAAGGCCCCCCAGGCAGCCCGTGCCGCAGGATGCTCGGACAGCGCTTGCGGGCGAGGGGTCCTGTTGCACCCGAGGTGCGTCGGGAACCGTCATACCATCCCTTCGCCAGAAACAGACCCTCCCGCCGTGTTCTCGAGGGGAAACCAGCACCTGCCCCCGGCGGGCCCTCGTTTCCGATGCGGATCCGGCCCTCGCACACACGCACCCCGGCGCCCGCACCCCGCCGCAACC